GACAGAAACCAGCAGAATCTGGCAACTCTGCCTAGGCCACGGTAACAAAAGCCTCACAAATAACCCCGACGGGCTGCAGGTTACCCCCCACTGAAATCAGCAAATGCAGACTGGCTGCAAGGCAGGGCGTCACAGTTCCCCACTGGAACGACTGGCCCAGCGTCATGGCGGAGTCTCCATCCCTGATCACTGTAAATCAAGCTGGCACGTTTTACTAAAGGGCTCGCTCTGGGAACGTGGGGCGGGTGACACACAGGAGGTCAGCCTCGAACAGGGCTACTAAACACGCTGCCCACGGATTTGTTTGTGGCCCATAGTGCGGTTTGGGTTTACGTGGGGCTCAACACGGAGCCTGCCGCGGGAGCCAAAACAAACAAACAGTCACTGTAATGGTCTTCTGCTGAGGTGCGTTCAAGTAGTTACATTCCTGGACTGTCATTGCTCATTAAAAGTGCTGTCATGTGGGCACACAGCGGGTAAATGTTGCATTTTATTAATATCAGCAGAACTGACTTAAATTGGGCCTGTGTATTGTGCAGTCTTGCCTTTGTATTCATGCCCATCAGTGTGAAAGAAGCTATTTGCATATATTTGCATATATATTTGCATGTCTATGCAACCACACTTAAGTTGTGGCCCTTGGCATGTGCTGTGAGTATCACTGTGGCCTCCAGGATTTCCAAAGTTGAGTAGCCCTGGCTTAGATCAGTGGTTCCCAAACTTTTTGGCATTGTGCCCTGTTTTTGATTTTTGAAAAACCCTCACCCCCCCCAAATAGTAGCAAAACTTGTTGAGCCCCCCCCAAAAAAATTGAACTGCCAGGGCAGCAAAACTTGATGGGGGGGAAGGGGAGAGGCTGGGTTACCTCACCCCCTACCCCGTCCAGAATTTCTTCATGCCCCCCCAGGGGGCACGCATCCCAGTTTGGGAACCCATGGCCTAGATGATCCCGGTGGTGCCTTCTGGCCTCGGAATCTATGAATCTTGTGCACATTAACCTCGGCAAAGGGCTTTGGGCTGCATCCTCTGAGCGTGGCCCAGGTTCTGTGCTCCAGGTGGATCGTTACCTTCATTCAAAGGCAGCGTGTTGGCTTGTGCCCAGTTTACCAAGCGACCCGGCTCTGCCCTCTTCAGCCTGCACCAGTTCTCCAACTTCTGCCAACATTATCAGTGATGGGTTCACACTTGCTGTCAGGTCGCTGAGCAATGTGTTAAGTAGCATAGTGCCAGGAACGGATCCCTGACAGACCCCACGATGATTTCCTGGTTACCGTTATATTGCGGCACCTGTCGGCTAGCCAGCTTCACCCGTTTCATTGCGCCAGCCCATTTTACACTGTTCGGGTTTTTCATCAGTATGTCCCATGGCTCCTTCCACCCTGCCACAGTCTCATCTGTGTCCTCCCAGGAGCAGAATTTCAGAAGATTTCGGAACCTGCAGGCAGGTGCCTTGAACGCCCCTCTGGCTATGGCCGAGGAGAGAAAAGGTGCTGGAAATAAATGACCTCTCGGTGGCTTGCCGGGTGCCTCTACAAATGAGAGTCAGTTCAACGTTTTATTTTGGAAATTTTGTTCTGTCACAAATATGTTATGAATGACTTGACCTGGAAACATGCCAGCATGTATGTGCTGCTATCACAGCGTTCAGTGCCTGTGACTCCCTGCAAACATTCTTGTGATAAATCATGGAAAAACTGACTGGGGCTATCTTTAGTCACTGCAGCGCTTCAGTCTCACGTCACTCACAGCTCTAAAAATACAGTTTCTATCACTGGATTCTTGGAATTCTTTCAGTTCGTACACGCAGTGCGAAGTGGCGTTCTAGCCAGGCTGTGAGGCTCAAGACAGCAGGCTGATATTTCTTTGGGGATTAGCCATCACATGGATTTGGTACATTGTTTGCAATATTGATTGGATTTGGATCTAAAGCTAATTTGGAAAATCTTCCTGCAGAGACACCTCTTACCTGGGGAACTGGGGTCAGAAGGAGCTTAATCACCACACTTAATGGATTCCAATAAAGCTTTCATCAGAAACACACACACGGGGCGGGCTGCTCGTGTGGAGTCAGTGAAGATTTCAGGGGGTGGAGGGGACTTTGCCATGGATTCAAAGGCACCACTAGCAAGGCAGCCCTGACCTACCTCGGCAGGCATACTCTGGATTTGATTACCCTCTCTCCAATGCCTGATAGCTGGAGTAGATTTTAAAGCTTTCTGACTTTCCCTGCTTGGGACCACGAAGCACATTATGTTCTTTATACCAACTGGCAGCGCAACAAAGCTCAGCAATAAAAAGCCTCATTTGTGTAATAAACTGTTGTACAATCTACTACTTATAAACAAGGTCCCTGAAAATGTGCAACCTTTCTGCACATTATGCTAAACGCAAACCAGATGGGAAGTTCCAAATTCTCCTCTGTTGCAGGGGGCTGAGGTTGTGTGGCGGTCCGAGGGTCTGTTTCACTAGACAAATACACAGTAGAATCCGACCGCCTTTCTCTCCAGAATGTGCAATGGGAAACCCCGCCTGGAAAACGTTCTGCACAATTAGGCAAAATGCCGCTGAGCGTGTGTGGTCGCTTGTGGCCTGACCAGAAAGGGAAGGGCAGGGCACAAGGGAAAGCAAATCTGCACCTGAGACTTTGCCTTCCCTTCCTGATGGAGGAATGCACCCAGCTCCTCGTGCACTGAGCACTCCTCAGGAAGCTGTTGCACAGGGTGCATCACTCACAGGTCCTGAGGCTGATCAATCTCACACAAAACCAGCAGGGCCTGGTTCCTACAAGTCACAGCTCAACCCTTGACCTACAGCCACAGAAGCAGACAGAAGAGCAACAGACAGAACAAGATGGAGAAGCACAGACTCATCCACCTCGACTTGCAGTGGGCTGGAGAAGAGATGGGGGAGACACTGGAGTCCACGGAGACGGGGCCCCTCTCCTCTCCGGAGCCCCTGGGAACAGGGCCCCTCTCCTCTCCTTAGCCCCTGCAAGCGGGGCCCCTCTCCTCTCTGCAGCCCCTGGGAATGGGGCCCCTCTCCTCTCCGGAGCCCCTGGGAACAGGGCCCCTCTCCTCTCTGCAGCCCCTGGGAACAGGACCTCTCTCCTCTCCGCAGCCCATGGAAGCTGGAGAGGACAGGGCTATGAATGATGGCAATTGCTGGCATAACACCAACAGGCCCCGTCGGCTGCAGGTGCGACTGGACCTGGGACCTCTGGAGCCTAGTGCACGAAGCTCTACCAGCATTACTAGAGGGGACACTTCAGCCCCGCCAGCGGGGTGTGGCTTACATGGGCATTTGGAACAGTGGGCTGAGCAGGTGTACAATGGCTTGCTGCCTGCAGGTGCCTGTGTAACTGACAGTGTAATGTCTGTGGCCAAGTGCAAGGAGAGTGAGTGCTGTAGTACATGGGTGGGGGGGTGGATTTGTCTGACTCCTTTGTGGCCCTCTTCTGAGCAGAGCGCAGGGCTGGGGAAGTTCCTAGGCACATGCAGCCAAAACAGGGGCATGTGCTCTGTGGATTTCTGCATGCTTTGCAGAAACATCGTGTCTGTCACAGCTGGTGACTCCTGGCCCTGGCAGTGCTCTGGGGAAAACGCCTGCAAGGTCGGAGCCGCTGTGCCTTCAGGGCCATGGTGGGAGCAGAGGGGTGCTGCTGGGAGGTGTACATCATGAGCTCAGCTAGCCATATGGCCAACATCCCGCTCCCAGCAAGGAGCCATGCTTCCCAAAGTACCCCGTGACTTAGGAGCCTAGGTCCCATTTCCAAAAGTGATGTAGGGCCAGATTCCTAAAGGGATTGAGGTGCCTGAAGAGGCAGGTTGCTGCGTTGTGGCTTTCACTAATGGGTCTGAGAATGGTGGGCACCTAACTGCCCCCATGTCCTATGGATGGCTTGTATATAGTCCCTCGCAGTCCCCTGAGGACACCCCCCTGCCAGCACTGACACCTCAAGGAATCCTGCGAGCTCACTGCCCACAGTGACCCCGGGTAACCCCATGGCCCTCAGTGACCTGGTGACCCCATGGCCCTCAGGGTGAGCCCACTACCCTCAGTAAATCTTCGCATTCACAGGATTTGTCACGCCTCCCCTCTCTGGCCACGCTGACTGTTCGCAGCGCTGCCGTTAGAGCTGGGCTGGCTGGAGTGGTCATGTGGTTCGAGTCCCACCGTACAAGAACCGCTCCACTCCCACCAGCTCCGCGTCTCTGCTGAGTGTTTGTCTTGCTCTCGCTATTGGGAGTGGGTCCTGGTTCCACCGCAGGGCTCTGAAGCCTGCTGTGAAAGATGATATTTGTGTGTCTGTTTTTGAAAGGGCAAAAGGCTGAAGTTTCTTCACACCCTCTCCAGAGAACCTCTGGCACCCGCTGGGGGAGGGGTCGGCACACCACTGCTTTATGCCATCTTAGAAGATAAAAATGCCTCTCCCAGAAGAAATGATCTGAAAAAGGGGTAAGCAGTGCGGTGGCAAAGTTCGCAGATGACACAACATCACTCAGGATAATTTAGTCCAAATCTGGCTGCAAAGGGATCTCACAAAACTGGGTGGGTAGGCAACAAAATGGCAGATGACATTCAATGCTGCTACATGCCAAGTAACACACTGGAAAGCTGTGCATACAAAAGGGTGGGGCTAAGGTAGCTGCTACCACTCAAGAATCACTTGGAATCACTGTGGGAAGTTCTCGATAGCCATTGTACATCCCTGGTACACCCCCTTCTGGAATACTGCCTGCGGGCCTGGTCACCCCCACTCAGAAGAACTGAAAAACGTACAGGGAAGAGCAAGCAAAGGGATTCTGGGTGTGGGCCAGGCTGGTGCTAGCATTTAAGGCTGACAGAAGCACTGGACTTGGAGAAGTTTCCATTCTCCCATTTCTTGACCGAGTTAAAGCACTAGCTTCCAAAGCACCCGACTAGCCAGTGCCGGGATTGGCCGCTCTCCACAGCTGTCGCCGCGCACAGCCGCTCTCTGACAAGAAGAGAAAGGGACTCACCGTTCCTCTCCGCTCGCGGGGGCGGCTGGACGTTGGTGGGGATGGTTAAGTCTTTTGCTTCATCTGCACCTTTCTCGTGGTGAGTTTTTGCTTCTTTCCCGTGCGGGGCATTGTTCTCGCCTGCGGGCTCCTGCCGGGTCCCACTGCTCATCACCATGCCTGAGCGGCCTGAAGAGACGGCTCCCAGTAGAACAGAGCTCCAGAGGCAGCTTTAGAAAATACCAGCCACAGAAGAGCCCTCCATCAGCTGACACTTCCTGGGACCAACAAAGGGGCGGAGAGACATGCACTCAGCTCTGCGTGTGCTGGAGACACTGAGACAAAGGCGCGCCCCGGGTAGCTCCTCCGTCTTCACGCCCCCCCCTTCGGCCCGCTGCGCTAGTGAGCCAGGCTGCAGGTAGCAGGATTGTCGCCAGCACCCCAGGGATGCTACCAGATTCTGGGGACACGGGGGAGCCTGTCAGGTGAAATGAAAATGGGGTTGGGGCTCCTCCCACAGCCCAGGGCAAACTCAGCCACGCTCCTTTGGCATAGAACCCCAGGGCGGGTGGGAGGCGTCGCGTCCAGCCCCCTGCCCAACAGGACCAACCCAACTCCATCAGCCCAGCCAGGGCTCTGTCAAGCTGGGATTGAAACACCTCTGGGGATGGAGGTTCCACCCCCTCCCTAGGGAACCCCGCTCAGGGCTCCCCCACCAGCCTAGGGAAATTGTTTTTCCTAATCTGCAAATGATGAACACTCCTAATGCCGTGATGAACATGGGTATCTGGCTAGTCAGAGCACGGGGCAAATCTTGAACTCAGGGGCTGGGAAAACATGTGCAAAGCTGGCAGTCTGCAGTGGGCCAGCAGCCCCTCTATTGATGGCCACTGAGATGGTGACACTTGCTGTTCTGATAGGCCAGGCATGTTTGGAGGGCGAGGATGGCTGGTCAGGCTGTGAATCCGTCTACTGGGAACACAAAAGTTATTCATGGAATAGCTAGGAAATCTCACCCAGAACAAGAGACTTTGCATCTTTAGAAAGCTCAGGTTATCCAAGCCAATCAGGTAACAGAAACCAGGCCAGGAGTCCTGCAGAAGCTGCCAATCGCATGCCACAAAGTGACTCGTGATTAGCAAACAAGAATAGCAACCACTTGACAAACAATCCCTGGATTAAAACGTGGGTGCAGAAAGTATGCGCTGAGCAATTAGGAATAAGAAGCACGTCTGCAAAACGCACAGCCTGCTTGCAGATAATATATTCTCCTGGATGCCGAATTTGACCGGCTCTAGTTCAACTGCTTTTCTTTCAAATGACACACTCATCTCCTGACTTCAGCAAGGCCAAAAGCAGAAAGTTGGTTCTTAGGAGACATCCTGGCCAATTCTGCAGCCCCAAGGAAGTGATCGTTCAGGTCTGCTTCAAATAAGCACCTGAGTTTGTGGGCGCATCTCAGAACCTCAGGCCCTTTCGATCCTCAGCCTGGAGCCCGAAGTGAGAATTCTGTGCACTCTGGGGTCTGCAGCCCTCTACATCGGCAGGAACAGTTGATACTGTTGCAGCAAAATCCGCAAGGATGTTTCAACAAAGCGGTGTCCAAAAAATCCCAAGATGATAAGTGAATCTGAGTGCCAGGAAGAATCAGCCCTGGCCCCTAATGAATCCCATCAGGAAAAGATGAGGAAAGCTAAAAAAGGGCATTTGTGGAGAACAAGAATAGAAAAGTGCAAGATCGAGTCGGTGATAAAAGCGGGTTTGATACAAAACGATCCGGAACAATTACAATTTACTGTATAAGGAAGTCAGAATAAAACAGCATCAATGACTCCAGCTCCTCCACACTGAGATCTCTGGGTCCCAGCCTACAGCTGCCCCACATCACTTCTCCCCTCGCCCCCTCCCGTCCCTGCCCTGGCCCCTCGCCCCACTTCACCTCCAGCCCCTCTGGCCACCTTAACAACCCTCCCCACTCCACCAGTTTCTCTGGGCCTCGGCAGCCCTGCTCTGCTTGGTCCTAGCACCAGCTCAGCGGACGCCTGCCCACGAACAGCCCATCAGAACTGCACCTGCCAGAGGAAAACTGTCTGGCCCACACACAGGCCTCTCTGAGCCCCAGGCTCTGGCCCTCCCACTCCACAGCAGCATGGCTGCCCTCTCCTGGGTACCTCACCAGCCGGGGGCACTGACAGGGTTCGGCAGGACGGGGGAGGGCATGGGGGGGCCGAGAGCCATTGAACCAAACTGTAACCACCGCAAGCCAGGGGTGCTGCTGCATGTTCAGCACTCCCAGACCCAGCGTCAGTGGCAGGACCCCTC